AAGGTTTTTATGCTAGAGAAATGAACACTTCAGTTTTTTGTTCACTTTTCATAGGTATACTTGTCTCTGCCAAGCAACCAGTCCCTTACTGAAGGTCACTGCCTGATAGCCCCTCTACAGCACCATACTGCAGCCACTCTTTTGGATGAAGACATCTGGGATGAAATCCAGGTGAGCTCAGAAACTGTCTCATGTTCTAACAGTTTTGTAAAATAATGTTATTTTAAATAATAATAGACTTGTCATCAGCATCTATTTTAACAAATTCCAGCCTGGCAGCTCCTCTTGAATTCCACTCTTCTTGAATTCCATTCTTGCATTATGGATGGAAATCAGTGGACAGATACTGAAAAGGGAAGACACAGGGTAAACACAGAAGTTCCCATTTATAAACACTATAAAAAGTTGCCTGGAATGCTGCAGAACCTCTGTCACTGGAGGCCTTTGAAACCAGGTTAGAGGAATATCTACCAGAGATGATGTAGATAGAGCTGTTCCCTTACAGAAAGTGGAATAACTGGCTTAACAGTTAAGATTTCCTTGGGAAAAGGATTATCAGGACAGAAAGATCACTTATAATGTAACACAAGTTGGAGGTCTTTTGTTTATGAAGCTTCAGGCTTTTTAAGCTAATCTTGGGTTTGGCTGGATGTCAGTTGAGAAAAAACTCTTAATTCTTCCTCAAATCAGTGAGATTGTCCTAACTTTTTTGAAAAGAAATCTTAGAATGAAGTGCCAAGAATGATGGGTCATGCTTTCAAACTCTCTTATGAAGGCAGTTTGAAATTATTGAGGAAAATCAAGGGAGGCATGTAACAAACTTCTGCCTAGGAGATTGTGATTGTCAATCTTCTTTTCCCCCAATCAGAATTATTGCAAGGGGAAAACAACTTGCAACCTTTTATATCAAAATGTTGGGGACTACTTCAGACTACAGAAAGACGTTGTTGGTTGCAGTTGCTTAGATTAAAAAACAGAGTAATTCTTGAGTTTGAAATTATTTAAGTAATGTTGGTCTTGCCTCAGGACTGGCAGATGGATTCTCTGACTTTCCAGGTTTGTTCCCCACATTAATTCTCATGGCAGATGTAATTTTTATCCATTGTTTCCTAGTAAATTATGCTTCACCCAAGCAGGAGGGGAGAGGAATACTTTTGTATATGACAGAAATGTCTGAGAAAGTTGGATAAGAAGCAAGTTAAGTCCAACAGGTGGGATCAAGAGGAGCAACAGAGCATGGGAAAAAGTGATGAACATGTTTTATCTACAGCTTCTATTTATCCCAACTTCTTTTAAGTAAATAAATGATAGTTTTTCTAAATCTGTATGAGAAAGAAAATAGCATAAAGAAAAGCTAAGCAAATGCAGTTTCTGTATTCAGCACTAGTCTTTTCCTTGCTAAAAAATGCAGCTAGTTGGTACAACCAGTATCCATTGATGCTGTGACAGTTTAAGCATTTCTTTGCAACAGAATAATTTGGAAGCTGATGGACACAAATTTCTTTTTTTTCTTTTTTTTTTTTTTTTTTGCTTATATTTATTTCAGTAGGAGGAGTCTGGAAGGCTTTAGCATTCAGACAGACTATAAGTATACAGTTATTCAGTGACGAATTAACATTCTGATGCCAGAGCCATATTTGATATTGCTGTTGAGGGGAAAAAATTATCACACTTCAAATATAAAATGTTGTATTGAGCAGATCTTTTAGCTAACTATTTTTGCTGGGATTTTTTTTAAGATAGGTTGGAATAAAGCAAGAAGGGTTACTATATATTGTGTGCCTTCAAGCGCTTGAATGTAACATTTGTGTGGTTTAGACTTGTGCTCACTTGCCAAAGTAAATATGCATGTAAATTTTTAATATGAAAAGATAAATCTTTACATATTCTGTATTGACTGAACTGTTACATGTATCAGTGTGTGCATCTGAGCATGATCCAAACACTCATATTTGCTCCTATGAATGATTTTGTTGTTTCCATTTGGCCCACTCAGAATTTGGAGGAAAGTGCGATTTTTTTTAAAAACAGCAAAATGCAATCTGGGAAACGTTAGCTAACATCTGCAGATATTCTAGGCATTTCAATGGCTTTGAATTTCAGTTGATATTACAGGGTAGCAACTGTCTTTCCCAGCCTTTGGTTTATTGTTTCTCTTATCTCACCACAGGTGTTTGCTTCCTTGTATTTCAGATGTAGAGTTCTGGGGGCCAGGTTTGAGGGGCCCCAGAGATATTAATTCAGAGTTGTCTGTCACTTTGTGCAGTTAAGTCCTATGTTAGTTGTGGTACAGTGATATATGAACTAGGCAGTATCTTCCAGCTGTGTTTCATCAGTTGTGTTAGGTGGATGGTGGTAGTGTCTATGCTGTGACATAGAGCACCTTATTTGTGAGGAAAAATTCATGGCACAAGGGCTTTGGAGAGCTTAAATGACCTCTCTGCTGTGAAGAGAGGTTGAGAGGGGTTGTTCAGCCTGGAGAAGGCTTCAGAGAGATCTTAGGATAGCCTTGCAGTACCTAAGGGGAGCTTTTACAAAGGTATGTAGTGATAGGACAATGGGTGTCGTGGTTTAAACCCAGTCAGCCACACAGTTTCTACTCCTCCTACTCTTTCTTTCCTCCCTCCCGCCCCAGTTCCTGGAGGGATGGGGAGGAGAATGGAAAGTATGTAACTCCCACGGGTTGAGATAAGAACCGTCCAGTAACTAAGGTATAACACAAACCACTGCTGCTGCCACCAGTAATAATAATGATAAGGGAAATAAGGGAAGAGAATAAGATACCCCCTGCCGAAACGAACCCGACCGAGAAGAGAGTGCCCTTCTGGGTAACTCCCAGTTTCCTCCCTGGGCATGATGTGCTGTGGTATGGAAAACCTCTTTGGCTAGCTTGGGTCAGGTGTCCTGTCTCTGCTTCCTCCTGGCTTCCCCTCCTCCCTGGCGGAGCATGAGCCTCACAAAGTCCTATGCCCAGTCTAAACGTTTGAGCAGTAACTAAAAACATCGGTGTTATCAGCTCTGTTCCCAGGCCGAAAGTCAAAACCACAGCGCTGCACCAGCTACTAAGAAGAAATAAAAATGACTGGTACTGCTGAACCCAGATCAGGGGGAATGGCTTAAAACTAGCAGAGGGTATATTTAGATATTACCAATTTTTTTACTGTGAGGTTTCCCAGAGAAGCTGTGGCTGCCCTGTCCCTGGCAGTGTTCAAGGCCAGGTTGGACGGGGCTTTGAACAACCTGCTCGAATGGAAGGTGTCCCTGCCCATGGCAGGAGGGATAGAACTAGGTGATCTGTAAGGTCGCTCCCAACCCAAACCATTCTATGAGTCTATGAATTAATATAAAATATTATACCTGAAAGCTTTGAAAAGTTAATTCAAATGATTTTTTTTTCTTCTTTAAACAGATGTTCCGAAATGCATTGGTGAAGATGTTTGAAGCTAAAGACTTGGACTGTGTGTTCCTAGAAACAAACCTGAGTCTGAAGAAACGGTATCACATGGTATATGAATGCATTCCTCTTCCAAAAGAAGTAGGAGATATGGCTCCAATCTACTTCAAGGTATGTGCAAACATTTTTTCTTAGGTCATTTGAATGTATGTATCATAATTCATCTATTTCTGGAAAACTTCTTGATATTCGAATACTTTTTTTGAAAAGATAGATTCTTTCTATCTGAAAAGATAGATCCCATTTCTTGATCTTAAAACAAGCCCTGTGAGGTGATTCTGTTTCCCAAGTTTTTCACTTAGTCAGTGGAAGAGCTGTATGTTTCTGTGCAATTGTCTCCAGTCTGACTGCACTGACAAATAGGTGAGGAAGATAAGAGGATAGTAGTTTCTTGAGGTGTTGTAAGCATTGCAGTACTTCTCACTTAAGTCCTGTAATATAAACTAAAACCACCATACATGTGCCTAGGCAAGCATAAAATGAGAAAATGATGTCGACTGTTTTAAGAAATACCAATATATAATGTTCCACCCTCATTTGATTTCACTAAGCCCACGTGTTACATGTGTCTTAGGTCTCCAGTGACCATTAAACAGCATGGTAGATATCTTTTCTAAAGTTTTTCTGGTCTCTTGCCCTTGACTCTGTAGGGAAAGGTTACATGAAAGCTTTTGCTGGAACTGAGGCCTATTGGCTTTCAGCAGCTGGATCCTGATTAGCCTTTTATAAGTAAATTATTTTACTGGTTCTTTGAAATATTATTTTTGTTTTCTGGAAATGATGTGATTTTTGATGAAGTGGAGCAGTCAGTATGAACATCAGTGTAGTAACTTTTACCATATTTGAAACCCTCCAGCTGGTAGATGTCATTGCTATGCTTCAAGCACTGGTAAAACTCTTGTTTTCCTAAAGGAAGGACAAAGTACAAGACTTAATGCAATTCCATTTGTGTAAAAGTTTATTTCAGAAGTGTCCACCATTAAAATACAGAGAAAATGAAATTTAAAAGATAGCTACACTAAACCCACTTCCCATACTATGGAGAATACAGAGGCAGACTTTGAAGGTTTTTAAGTGCAGGCTTCTAAGCTGGATTCTCCTTTTGGTATTTAAAAAAGGAAAATAAAAAAGACTAATATTGTGTAATGAATTCACAGGAGGATTTGTATGAGCTTAGAAAAAAGAGAATGTGACCTTTTAGTTGGAACTTTTTGGAAATAATTTATGTCAGGCAAGAGTTAATTTTCAGGAAAAAAAAAGGAGCAGAATTAAGTGAGTTTGAAGATACTATATGATGCCTTTTTAAGTTGTGGAAATTAGAAAGGTTTCCAGAAATAAAGTTACTTTGTTAAGAGATAATTGGTACTTGCAGTGCAAAGGACTTGACTACATCAAGAAGTTAGTTCTTTGCTTGCTGTATAAAGGACTATTTTCACATTTAGATAAAATGATTTTACAGAAAGCTATAATGGAATCTGATGAGGAGTGGTCCATGAACAAGAAGTTAATTGATCTTTCTTCAAAAGACATTCGGAAATCTGTAAGTAAAGAAATGTATTGAACACTGAATTTCTCAGCAAATTCTTTTAATCTTTTTTCATTGTTAACTGTTTCAAAGAGAGAAGAAAGGGAACACAATTAAATTAGTGCATCAGGAGATAGCATAGGTATGATGAGAGTTAAGAGTCTGACTGAACTCCTAACTGACATTAGGGAAAATAATCCCATTCATTTCAACAGTTGATGGACGGAGCTGCAAGCATTGGTTAGGAACAAAGCTGGCACCTTGAGGACTTGTACCAGCATAATTTTCTTGATTAAGAATTAAGGTAGATCAAAGATCTGCAAATTACTTTCCTGGAAAAAAAGCACCCCATTGATGTATCTTTTTCATTGACCTAAAACAGCGTTTTGTGTTGCTAAGTCTAAGAAGCAAAAATATAAATAGCATTATGAGTCTTTTTTTTCTAAAACAAGAGAACAGAGCTCTGTCTCCGGGGTACTAAACTGAAACATCTATGTATATGCAAATGTTAAAGGTCTAGTGCTGAAACTGTTCCGTATTTTTAACACTAAAGTGAAAGATGTGTGGTATGTAGGCTTTACCACAAGTAGTTTACTACTATGTAGCAATAATACTTAATTTTTGAAAGAGTCTTTTAGTAAATACAGCACCTTTGCACTAAGAAATCCTAGCTTAGAAGAAAGAGGAGATGGGTTTAGCTATGAGACGTGAAGCTTAGTATGACAAAGAGGGAGACTAGATGCTAAAGGGTAAGGGATTGGGTGGCTGTATAGTATTACTACATAGTGGCTGTATAACAGGAGGGGTTTTGCATACTGTGGTGAGTCTTGAACTAAACTGACAGTGGTAGCAAATGTAGCAAAAAGACAATTTCTTCTGCCACATAAGCTGAATGTCATATAAATGTAATGGGAGTCAGTTACGGGTCACCTTGTTCAAAGTGGTGAGGCTTCAGCTGGAAAATTCAGGTGTGGTTTTGGGCTCACTATTTTAAGATGCTTAAAGAAGGAGAGTAGAGGTTATAAAACTGAAGAAGCTGGTTTAGGGGTTAGTGCAGACTAGGAAAGAAAAGACTGAAATGGGATGTGATAGTAGCTTTCTGTATATAGGAGGTTGTTTTAAAGAAGATAGTACTTAATTGTTCTCTAGCACTATTGGGTGCAGACAACAAGGAATTCAGTTAATATGTAGCAAGGACTTAGGGAACACTTTAAACTTAAGGTGGATGTAAACATAAAATAGTAAGGTTTGAGTATCTTTTTCTCATTGGTGTTTCAAAACAGGGAAAGCCAACATCTGTCACAAAATAAGGTATAATTTTTTGGCACATAGTAGGGCATCAAGACATTTGATATCTAGAAGTTTCTTAGCTATACATAATGTGACTACTGCATTGCCATTTGGTGGTAAACCACATGAAGATTAAGATGCGACAGTTTCTTTAAATTGCATCTTTAAATGCATCTGAGTGTAAATTGTTATACATTTGTGTGATTTTAACATTTTTTTAGGGTAAAAGAAATCCCTGTAGCCTTCAGGAAGATATGAGTATAGCTTAAGTGACGGAGATAAGGTTTGGGAAGTTTGGATAGTTGTATTGGGATATGGGGGTGCATAGAAGAAGGGTCAGACGAGGCTGAGATGTCATCTAATGGGTGGATTGTGTGCAGAAATTGAGACTGTGGTGTCCAGAAGCAGAGCCTAAGCATTGGACCCTTGCACAGCATCAAGTCCCTCTGCTTCTCCCTCTCCTCCCTGCAGTGAGGGAACTGGGCAATGGGCTGGGAGAGGGGACACAGCCAGGAGAGCTGACCTGGCAGCAAGCATTGTTCAGTGACAGCCACAACACTGGCAAGTTATCAACACTGGTTTAGTCACCAGTCCAAATCTCAGCGCCATATGGGCTGCTATGACGAAAATGAACTATCCCAGCCAGACCTGACACTGCTAGACACAGATAAAGCTGACATATTTCTTAAGGTGTCAGCTGCTGACCCATTTTTCCTTATTTATGATTCTTTTTTAGTTCATTTAAAGTGTTTTATGTTTCTTGCCTTGCTACATCGCCCCTCTGTGTTAAATCTGAATTATTTTTAGAGTGAATTTTCAAGCAGTATATCGAACATGTCTTTTGAAAATTGGACTGTAGCAGAGGAATTGGTTATGAATTTGTGACTTTGTAAATCTTATTGGGAACATCCTTAACAATTAAAAGAGTGGAAAATAATGTTGCAGTGAAAAGCAGGAATTACTTAAAATATGTAGCAATAAACTAATCCACTTCTCACTCTGTCAGACTGAAGGGTCTTTTGTTGTGGCAGGATAACCAGCATCTCCTCTGTAGACCTACTGAATTATTGAATTATCTTATTTGGCAAGTTAATGATAACTTCCAGTCATGTAGTGGTGTTTTTCCTTCCCTGAGTGTCAGTGCTTCCCCTGGGTAAATATTTCCTGTTACCACAGAACACTTTAATAAATGCAACTTGCTGGTGGTTGTCTTAAAATTTCTATTCAACCCATTCATTATAGGAGTGTGAAGTCAGGAAGGCATTTACTCAGTGTGCATGCTGCTATCTGGTCCTTCCCTGTCTCTTACCTGGTGCCGCAGTGGTGGCCTCTGGAGGTTTTGCCACCTTGTAATCATCTTCTCAGTTTAGTGCCTTTTCACCTAGTTTCTGTGTGTTCTTTCCCCTTACCTGCTTGGTTTTTGTTTCTCTCTTGCAATTTTATATTGCATGTCCTTTGTTTGAAAGATGTTTTAAAAGAAAATGTGATACTGTAAAACCACTTTCAAATTCATTAAGTTGTGGGGGTTAACTAAATATTTACAGTCTTCAAGTGTCTAAAAATGTGGTTTTGCATGTATAGGTTCCTAAAGGTTTACCATACTTCTCTGTGGACTTTGGTCTTCAAGGAGGATTTGCTCATGTCATTGAAGATCAACATAGTTTCCCTCATTACTTTGGAAAGGTATTGTCATGTAGAAGATCAATTTACCAATTATACTCTGTTTTGTTAACTTTAGTTAAAGCAGATGCTGCCAGAACAGTCACTTTGACATATCTTATCCTAGTTCATTAGCTGGCTTTTCTTGTTAAGTCATTATAACTTTGCTCATTGATGAGTAAAGGAGTAATCTGATAAATGGAAAATACTCGCACCTGTTTAACAGTTTTTGTGGCCATAGTGTTCTCATGAACTGGTTCCTGCTTGTCTGAATTAGGGTGCCTACACACATAGACTCATGGACAGCTCCTAGTAAAATATTTGTGTGGTTAAATTACTCCACGTGGTATAGAGAGTATAGTATATACAAGAAGAGCTGCAATAAATTCTTCCTTTATTATGTCACAGCAGTAATTTATTGACAGAATTAATATTGCAAAAACATGAAGAGTAATTGGGGGGAAATATAACTTCAAGAGTTAAGAGCAAAGTGGGCAGCTTTTTTCTGAACTTTTCTTACAACTGTACTAATACATTAGCAGTCTTGCAATGTTAGGATATTTATTCAGTGCATTGCTCTGCTCTACTTACAAGAGTTTTGCTGAGACAACTGTCTAACAACTACAGTCCTAATATTTTAATAGGTATTTTTTTCAGAATTTCGATTTATAATAACCAGCACATGAAGAAAACAATGAAAAATAATCTCACATTTTGAAAACTCATATTTCTTTACTCAATGGTAAAATAGCATTAAGTAATATTCTAATTTTGTATTTATCATTCTCTTTCTTCTACTTGTGAAGGAAATTATTGGTGGCATGTTGGACTTGGAGCCACGGCTCTGGAGAAAAGGAGTCAGACAGAACTTTGAGGATCAGAGCAAGAAGGTGTTGCAGTTTGCACAGTGGTGGAAACCATATGACTTTACCAAGAAGAAAGAATGAATGCATCCCTGCAGTCAAGGACTGTATATAAGCCATAAATGTTATGAATTATATGTTAAGAATAACATATGTTAACATATGTTAAGAATAACACCAGTGTGTTATGTATTGCTAATATATTTTAAAACAGGATATTGTTTAACTGCTGATTACCTGTTCCTGATTTGGACACTGGACACTGTGGGTCTCATCAACCTGCAAGCCTGACAAACCATAATTGTACAGTGGTTTTAGTTTTTCATTTTTTAGCTGAGCCAAAAGAATAAAATCCATGTGGCCAGAAGGAAGATTCTGGTTTTGGAGTTTTACAATCTTTGAGGCAACTGTTTTTTTTTCTATATTGTATTCAGCATAGAACCAGTGCTCAATTATCAATGTCCTTTTGTAGAAAATGGTGTATATTTTACAAATATTTTGATTCATACAAATACATTGTTGCAGAATGAAGCTGAACAGAAACACTTTTTTTGATTTTGAGTCCTTGTATTCTTTAAGTTGAGGTCATTGGAGTAATACATTCACATAGGATGCGGTTGATATACCTGCTGCTGCCCCCTGGACAAGAATGAATGCAGTATTTTGTACTTTCAATATGAAGTAGTATTTTTCAAGCTTGTCTGTTGCTCAGAGGATGATAAGACAGTCCCTAATTGTGGCAAATGACAGCTTTAATGGTAACATTTATTTTTGATGACAATAAAAAATAAAAAAAAAGAGAGTGGAAGAACATTAATGGAAAACTCTCCGATGTCCTGCAAAGAAAATAATCCCAGGGATTTCCCCAGGTGACTCTTCTACCCCAGGCTTACCCTCCAGTGTGGCAGGTGGTCCACCATAATACTTTTCCAATAACTATATTGTTTTCATCAGGACCTGCTCAAACTCTCTGCTGAGTCTTCCTGTTTGTGATGCTCTTAGCACTGATTGGAGCAGTCTTTCATCAAAGGCAAGAGTTGCCTGTTAATTGATTGTTAAGCTTTGTGCATGGATATCACTGGGAAATGCCTGTCCATTGTTAAGGGACTACTGTCTACCGTGTTATTCACTAGGCTTTTCTTTTTCTTCTGTCTAAAAGTTAGCAAATGGGGGTAGAGAAGCATGAGGGTAAGAAGGATGATTTCTTGCATCAGTGTTAATCACTTCGGTGGGAAACCAGACATAGCAGCTTCAGGCTTTGCAGGTGCAGAGCTGGGAGAAAAGGACAAGGACAGAAGGACACAGATGAAAACATTGCCACAGTGTCCTCCCAGTGCATAAGGGAGAGGGTGCAGACTTGAGAACAAAGCACTGCAGTGCTACAGGGAGAGCCTCCAGATGGCAAGTGGCAGGCCTGTAGCATAGGAGAAGTTAAGAAATTGTGTAAGTGTCTCAATGTGCATCCTGATGAACCATTGCTCTGTACAGCTGTTAACTACTGCAAACTGCTCAGATTAAGAAGTGGAACACTAAATATTACGTGGTTCAATAAGTGTTCATTTCTAGTCCCTTTTACAACTTTCCTGAAGAGACAGTACTTTCTTTTTTCTTCTTTTTTTCTCTCCATTTTTGGCAAATAAGTCTGGTAGAGATAGAAATCTACCATGCTGTGAATTGTTTTCTGTAGCATCTTTTGTAAGATGCTTTGTAAATTTGTGTCAGTGCAAGAGAAATAACTTAAAAATAAGCTATCATGATAATATCAGTGATTTAATATCTGATTTATACTATTTTTTACCAACAAGCCGTGGATAAAAGGGCCGGTTCTACTGTTCTCCAGTAAGTTTTGATCTTCCTTAGGATACTGGGGAAACTACAGAGCAAATAGGACATGAAATAGTAACTGCTGAGTCTGGCACCGGTTTCAGGGAGGGTGTGCTACTGCACCAGCGTAGCACCATTACTGCTGGTCCATCAAAGCCTGGGTGAGGTCTGAGTAGGAACTTAGACTCTAGAGCATTTTAGTCAATTATGTTTGCCATCAGGTTCTCTAGAGAGAGCCAGGATGGATGCTATAGTCAAGTGGGTCATCTGCCTCAGGCCCTGATAACTTGAAGATTCCCAGCCTGGGTTTTTCTTGGGGAAAATGAGCTAAACAGGCTCCTGTGAGATGTTCACTTGTTTGCTTTTTCTCAGGCTGTTCTGTTCAATCTCATATTCCCAAGGCTCATGTGATTGCTGTAAAAAACTGCCTGAAGCATGAGGCAGCTGTTTTCATATTAAGGACCCACATTTTGAAGTTGTTATTTTTGCTTAAATTGAAGGAAACACCACTACATTAGCTAAAAAATTAAGTAAGTGCAAAAGCTGCCACCGTATCTTTATTATATTCTTAAAGTAAGACGTTCTGCTAGTTGCTGGTGTTCTTCAGACAGGTAGCTCTCATTTATAGTAGAGTCATAGAATGGTTTGGGTTGGGAGGGACCTTAGAGCCCAACCAGTTCCAGCCCTGCTGCCACAGGCAGGGACACCTCCCACTAGGCCAGGTTACTCAAAGACCTGTCCAGCCTGGCCTTGAACACTGCCAGGGATGGGGCAGCCACAGCTTCTCTGGGCAACTTGTGCCAGTGTCTCACCACCCTCACAGTAAAGAACTTCCTAATACCTAATCTAAGTCTACCCTCTTCTAGTTTAAAGCTCTTACCCTTTGTACATAACTCCACCGGCTTTTCTCTTCTTTTGTGTTTTCCTTTGACATAAGACTCTGAGGTGCTGCATTTAGTGCAGTTTTGGTGTAACAGTGTTGGATTGTTGCTTTGTACTTGTTAAAATACCTGGCAGAGAACAATGTGGATTTTTGTTCCTTTGCTATAAAATGAAAATAGCAACATTCAATCTTAGGTTTATTTCGGCTGGTTATTCTCAGATTGGTCATGAATCTAAACAGTGAATTATTCCCGGAGTCGTAATCAAATGTGATTTAATGGGATTTTACATATTGAGTTAAAGTAACTTGGTTTAAATTTCATACAAGTTTTGATTGGAAAATAAGTTAAAATAAACAGAAACTCTAATGGCAAGAGATCACAAATCTCTTGCAGTCTATGAAAGAAGAAATATTTTGATGGGTCCCTTAAAGGGTTCTGTCTTCAGCTGAAATTTCTTCAGCATTTCCTATCTTCTGCATCTGTATTTTTATCATTGAGTTGTGTTTTCTCTTTCTGGATTGCTGGATGAAAAGATACTGCTGTTTGGAAGCAAGATTGTTAGTATCCTAGCTAAAAGTGCCATTTTTAACCCTCACAAATCAAGACGGTCTAATCCAGTATGAAGGAACATCCAAGCTTGCTGGCGTCGCAATTCTCAAGTGCATATTGACGTAGCTGTGTGATAACATTAGTTTTTTAGATGTTGCATTTGTTTATGTTGTTAGAAGTGCGAAGGAAGGGTAATATGCTTCCTTCAGGAAAGTCATGCTGCTACACCCCTTTACTGAGAAGTTGGTTCTAAAAGAACATTTAAGCTTTTCTTGTGTCCCAGGTTGCAAAGCCAATAATGCAATCCCAAGACTGCCCAAGGGAAATCTTTGGAAAAGAGTTGTCTGTCATTGTAGAAGCTGATGAATTTGTAGTTTTGAACACTGTGTCCTGCTTGGTGAGC